CAATTCACTCAAGAATGTATAGCCACTATACTATTAAAGATTACAAGAGATTTCAAGCTTCAAAGATGCAAAATCAAAGAAATGTGAAGAGAAAAGAGAGTTTCGTAGAGAGGTATGAGAGAGTGAGAGTTGAATTCACATTCCAAATGAGCCCCTACCCTAGCTTTTAAGGGAAATCGTATCAGCTGAAAAATGCAATAGAAAAACACGTTTTTCTGCCAACCAAAATGAACATGCCACCATTTAATTAATATATCCAAAGTGTCCAGCCCAATAGCCACATTTCAGCCCATTTACAATTCAGGCCCAATCCTTCATTGTGCCATTTTTTTCTCCACATTATCAAATTAAACAACTTAAATAATTTACATATATTTGTTCTTTATCATTGACGTATTTCAAACAATTATCGTGTGTGTTGAGAGAGGGAGGGCTGTACATTTTGACTAAATCAATAGAAGACTCGTAAATTCATCTACACACGTACATTAAATTATGCTGTCTGAGTTAGGTATTTAACAATTCAATAATAATACAATTATAATTCTTCAAATAGAGCAAGTTCCACCTATAAAGTTTAATAAAAGAATAGGAAAAGACATCATATGAAATCTCAACACATTTTATGTGACTTGACTAATAAAAATAGGATAAAGCTTCTTTGCCAAAAGGAATTGACAGAAAGTTTGACATAATTGCACGTGGCAGTAGTTGATTTGATGGAAAAGTTGATTGTGTTCTAAACTATCCAATAATGGAATATCACGTGGCATTGTGTGTAGCTTTATATCAACCTTGAAGTTCATACAGCATGATTGATTAAACTATTAAAGCCATGTCAAAGTCCTGGAATTCTTTGGACAGTTAACAGATGAATGAGAAAGAACAGGAAGTCCCCACTGGCAAGAGAAGATAATTGCAGGGCATACTTCATCCAGCTTCATTCGTTTAACAATATCAAAGTAAACCCTAGCAATCCTTTTTGGTATTAAAATCACTGAAAAAGCCTTCCAGTTCAACTTCTTACACTTTGATAACCTGAAACCTTTAACTCTTCCATTTATTTTCTTCATCCAGGGCTTTTTAGGCCTTGCTGACTTCTCAACGGCACTAGTAAACCTCTGGTATCTTGCTGTCTGTCGACCAGAAAACTGTTTTTGGAAGTCCATCTGCAGCAACGTTAATGGAGTATATGTGCAGTGAGTCTGTAGAGAATACATATACTACACTGAGTTTATATAGAGAGTGAGAGAGCAAAGTTAGCACATGAAGAATAACTTTTGCAGTATTATTTGAAACGTATACTATCTTGGAAAGAGATGAAACTTGCCATTGTTTGGATTCCTTCAACACATGGCTAACATCATAAGTTTTAACCTAATACATTGTATACTTGAGAGTGAGAGAGAGAGTATATACACGTACTTGCTTTTTAACTTAAAATAAAAAATACTGCTGCACTTTTCTATATATCATTTTAACTGGAAGGCTAAGTCCTTGTTTGATCCTCATTTTTTACAATTTATTATTTCTCAAATTCATTTTCATTCATATATTTTATGAAATACATAACGTTTCAACCACACATTTCATTAAATTTTATCCACATAAACTAAAAGTTTAATTTTTAGCTAAACCAAAGAGGGTCTAAGTTGCCAAACACGGTCTCTTTCACTTAACCCTTTGGCATGAATTTTTTAAAACTCACTTTTTTTTATATAATTTTATTTTCAACAATAATTTTTCAATAAAATAATGTTGCCCGTAAACCTATAATTTTTCCTATTTTTACAATCTATTCAATCTTTCACTTAATTGGTAAATTAGCTGAATACGACAATGTTAATGATTAAACATACAAGATGAAGGAATATTGAAGACATGTGCAATCATTGATGTTCAAATTAAAAATTCAAAGGCAATGATTTAGTGAAGAGAAACAAAGCGTTTATGATGGATAGCAAGACAAAGATCTACTTGTTTCATTGTATTTAACAGAGATTAGATTAGTCCAAATTATCAATTATTAGAAAAGCTAAGGAATATTAGTCTACATTGTCCTCTTTGAAGAAAACAGCCTTTTGTTCTAATTTAATTCAGGAAATCTTTACTATGCATCGTTAAGATCTACCAAATGTTTGTTTGTAAAATTATTTTAATGGACTCCATATTAATATACTTAATTTTAACTTTGTGATCTAACTTTCTAAGCCCACTTGTATATTTACTTAAGAACCCGATATTTATTTATTTTTCAATGCGTAATTGCAACTATGGAAAAAGGGTCGATGGTACAATCAATAGTTATACCTGTCATAGAGTTACATGTTAAATTTGCTATTTTAGATTGAATCATCTTGTCTAAATGTCAAAAGAAGAGGAAATAAACTTTTATTTAATTACGTCATTAGTCAACATCCTTCCCTAAGAAAAATATATAAAAAACTAAGCAGAAACAGTAAAACTATGTAAAATGCATTTTGAAATAATAGATTGACGAAAAAATTCTGGTTAAAAAATAAAGAAAAATTTTGGATTTGCGTGAAATATTGTTTTATTAAAGAATGTGTAGTTGAAAAAAAGAGAAAAAAAAAAGTATTTTGGAAAAAAAAATGGAGATCAATCAATGGCTTAAATTTCCTATCAATCATGGTTGCTTTAATCTAGAGTAGACACGTTAATAGGCAAATTATTTAATACTATAGAAAGAAGAAACAAGTCATCAAACCACATTAATAAAATGACTGGTCCAAAAAAGCATAAATAAATTTTGAATAGAATATATTATTGTTGCCTTTTTTGAATAATGCATGCAGGCCAGAAGCAGCTGCTCACATGAACAAAAACAATTAATTGAAAGGAATATAGTGAACTGTTTTGCGGTTATTGAAGATGATTTGGAATTGTAACCATGGTTATTGAACACTTGACCACTTAACAAATATTTTAGCCTCTGTTTGAGCCACAATAAAAATTTTATTCTCATTTTTCTACTTATTTTCTGTTGGTGAAAATAATAATATTTACCGTTATAAGATCGTTCATGTTGGATCATCAAGAATTAATTAACCAAAAGCGGAAGCGTAC